GTCTATCACGGAGCTCTCTATAGGCCAGGGCTCTATGTCTTAGTTTAGAAGGAAAATAAGCTGCAGTGTTGCAATGTTCAGAGATTCTCAAATTAACATCAATTCTGCTGATGTTGTTTCACCTTTTTGTGACATTTTTGTTGGAGCACCTTTTTTCTGCTCCGCAGACACTTAATATTGTCCACTTTTAGCCCTGGAGGTGGTAGTGTTAGGGTAGGGCCTTTGAGTCACAATGGCTCCGTAGGACTCAGTGAATCTATTCTCCCATTTTAAGCCATATCACAACCCTCTGAGCAGCTTGCTGTTTGGGCTATGCAAGACAATGAGTAAACATGGATGTGTTAAATCCAGGCATTTCAACTGTAATCCTGCTAACTAATTTGTTTCCTGTTTTATATGGTTTGCATAGTCGAGGGGGTGGAAAAATGTAGAAATGTTTTCCAGTGTATTTCCTTCCTTACACCCCCAATCCTGCTAAAGATACAGTGTGCCGATTTCATGGTAGCTATGGAGTTATTCCCAAATGTTAGACTTTTATGTACTTGCTTACTTTCTCAGTAATGATGAGATTTTATACTTTCTTTTCTTTTTTTTTTTTGGGTCCGGTCATGGGGCCTGAACTCTGGGCCTGGGCGCTGTCCCTCAGCTTTTCAGCTCAAGGCTAGTGCTCTACCACTTGAGCCACAGCGCCACTTCGGGCTTTTTTTTTCTTTTTGCTTATGTGGTGCTGAGGAATTGAACCCAGGGCCTCATGCATGCAAGGCAAGCGCTTTACCACTGAACCACCTTCCCAGCCCCGAGATTTTATACTTTCTATTACTACTATAGTGATAAGCAAGTACTTGGCTCAGAGAAGTTGTGGGGGTTTTGCACCCTGTTTCTGAGCTCTGTGAAACTGGGCCAGATATCATAACCCCGGGGGAAAGACCCTCTCCCCAACCTCTATTTTCTTTTCTCTTTTTTTCTGTTGGTCACAGGACTTGAACTCAGAATCTGGGCCCTGTCCCTGAGATTTTTCCCTCAAGGAATGCACTCTACCACTTTGAGCCACAGTGCTACTTCCAGTTTTCTAGTGGCTTAATTAGATGAGAGTCTCACAGACATTCCTGCTCGGGCTGGCTCCAAACCGTGATCCTCAAATTTTCAACCTCCTGAGTTGCTAGGATTACAGGCAGGAGCCACCGGTGCTCAGCCTCGCTGCCATTTTTAACCCCCCTGAAATTTAGGTCCATTCTTGAAAATTAAATTGATCTTTTCATGGTTACCTGAGTTTTTGTTGTTGTTGTTGTTGGTCGTGGGGCTTGAACTCTGGGCCTGGGCACTGTCCCTCAGCTCTTCAGCTGAAGGCTAGCGCTCTACCACTTGAGTGTCAGCCCCATTTCTGGCTTTTTCTGCTTTTGTGGTGCTGAGGAATCGAACCCAGGGCCTCATTCATGCAAGGCAAGCGCTCTACCACTGAGCCACCTTCCCAGCCCTTGCCTGAGATTTTCATACTGCCAGAGGAATGTGTGTGTGTGTGTGTGTGTGTGCACCTGATTCTGTTAAACACCCACTTATTGAGTCCGTCTCCTGTGATCTCTTTGTTGATTCCTTTTCCTGAGTCTTCTCTTTTTTTTTCCCTGAGAAAAGGTTTCCATAGATCAGGCTGGCCAGGATCTTTCAATCCTTTGGCCTGTACCTCCTTAGTACTGTTGTCACAGGCTTGTGCCACCATGCCCAGCTAAATCCCTAGTTTTGACTTTGGATCTTTGTCCTTAACTTTGCCTTTCTATTCTACTCTTTTTGAGTATACTCATCCCTGTGGATTTCTATTCACAGGTCAATAACGCCCTCAAGTAACATTCGAGTGCTGTTTTATTCCTTTGTGCAGGACCTAAATTTCCATCTGCTCAATATTTCCATCTGCTCATAAGACATATATGTGACATGTTTGATCACAAATTCAAAATGGCCCTTTCTGACACAGAAATATTGAGGCATCATTCCTGATACATTGCTTTCTTAGATCTAGGCTGTTGTAAATCTACTCTCCTTTTTCAGCTTTTCTTGGGATCCACTGAAACACCAGATCTTCTTGCTCCTCATGACAGTAATGTCAGCAGCATCTCGGGCTCTCCTTTTACTTCCTGACTTTCCACTCTGGTTCCTTCTGCTCATGCCTCAACTTTGGGGGTCCCATCACTTCTGACCTCCCAAACCAAGGCATGATCCTGAATGTTGGTGACCATGAGCCTTCTCATTTCTCTCAACAATAAGATTGTGTGATTTTCCCAAAGCCATACTTCTGCTTCATTCTGTAATTGAGTGGTGAAAAGCCCTAAGTCATTACTCAGTTCTCTCTACCCACTACCCACTGTGAAGAACACCAGGTCTCCTGCAGCCCTGGCGTGTTTGTGGTCTCTACAGCACCCATGCGCCACTCGCTGTCCGCTAGTCTCCTTGCTGTCCCTCGTTCCCCTATCTGAGCAAATCCAGCTTGTCTCACCTGCTCAGAGCCGCCTTTGCTTTCGTCAACCTACAGCCAGGAGTTTAAGAATTCTGCCATTCTTAGACTTTTTGATATATATTCATTTTTAACTCCTTCTCTGGATAGCAATCTCCTTGTAGTCCACAGTGTTTTGTGTGGTTGGCTAACTCTCACCAACGCTGGGTGTGTGTTGTTTGTCACTGCTGTGGTCGTATTCACAATAACTTAATCTGTAATTATGTATAATTAGAAATAATTAGGAGGAGACATTGAAGCAGGCCTTGCTTGAAATACTTTATATGCATCTCATTACCTCATGGGTACATATTCAGTTCACGCCTACGTCACTAGGGAACCTTCTCTCAGCTGGTCACTAGCTGTGGGTCTCAGGGACGTCGTTTCTGCTGAGACTCAAGTCCTCCTCTGCTATATCAGTTGCCCTTTTGTTAAGTAACAGATTCTTGAAAAGAGAGGAAAAAAAAATTAGGCTCATTGTTTTGTAGCTTCCAATTTAGCCCGATTGCTTTGGGCTTAGGGAGCACATGAGAGAGCAAAGTCCTTCTCTTCATGGCCAGGAAGCAGGAGAAGAGGAAGAGGAAGAGGGTATCACTCTCCCCTAGGAGAATATGCCTCAGTGACCAGAAGATCTCCCAATAGGCCCCACACTCTCTTAAAACATTCTATGACCTTCCAAGAGTACCACAGGCTGTGGAACAAGCCTTTAGCACATGGGCCTTTGGTTAAGACTTCAGATCTAAACTATAACAGCTGCAAATGGAGTGCTAGAAACCTGCCTTTCAGGGTTCTTTCCAACACTGTGGTTCGATTCATTCTGAAGTCACACCTCTTAGGGAATCCTACCTGTATGTTTTGCACAGATTGGTCACTCAGGGAATGTAAGACAGACACGGCACAATCCCTCTCATTATCACCAGCCATTCAGTGTAAAAACAGGAAGCCAGGGTATCTGAGGGATAGAGAACAAGGGAGCCAGTTACTTCATCAGAAGAAAAGTGGGAAGATTCCTGAGAGTCTATTGTAATTAGAAGCTTCCTGAGGGAGGAGAGATTTCCGTTCCGTTTTAAAGGAGGCAGTATTGATGGTGTGGGAGCTTCGACACTAGGAACATGTCTGGTGGGCACAACAAGCTGTTCACAACGAGAACAGGCTGGGTTTAGGACAGACCAACCAGAAAATTTTGTATGTGCTATTTTTAAAGTGGTGACAGCACAATTCGTGCTGTAAGATAAAACGGAGAAATCTCAACTACTTCAGCGGGTCTCAGAGGAGAGAAATATTTAGATATTTGAGATGAAGCCTCGCATCAGTCATGTTTTCTGCAACCTTATGGGTAAGGACTCCTAAATCAATGGGAAAGATCCGTTCCAAGGTTATTGCTAGATTCCTGTCACAAAATAATGTAATTACCATTAATATTGACTATGGTTAATGTTTATATAAAAAAACACTTCTCTCTTCATTAAACAAACTTGAAATGGTTTGCAAACATATTTACCAGGCAATAAGAGCCCAGAAAAAATAAAGAGAAAATTAAAGTAGAAATAGAATAAGACCAGAGGAAAACTGCAAGGACCCAACGACACTAAATAAACTCTGGACTTGGTCTAGAGTTGGGGTGCCGTTGTTCTTCAGAGTGCTATAGATTAAGTGACAGCTAAGACCCCTCACTGTTTAGGACAAGGGATAAAGGTCTTTACCAGAAGCAATCCTTGTCTTAGTGCATTTTATTCCTAGTTGTTTATTTTTTTGTCTTTTGTCAGTAGTGGGGCTTGGACTCAGGGCCTGGACACCCCCCTGGCTCTTTCGCTCTAGACTAGTGCTCTACCACTTTTAGCCATCTGGTTTTTGAGAGGTTAATTGGAGATTAGCATCTCACAGGGACTTTTCTGCCCAGGCTGGCTTTGAACTGTAATCCTCAGATCTCAGCTTTCTGAGTAATAGCTAGGATTACAGGCATGGGCTCACCAGCACCTGGCTTCGTTTTTTAAAATATATGTTTATTTAAATAGTTGTACAACGCAGTAAGGTTTCATTTTTAATATGATAGCATAGCATCTTGAATACTCATGCTTACATTCGGAGACATCTTTATTGATGAAAAGGATATTGGATAATTCTGTAGGCTCTTCTTCATGCCATTTGCTTTTTAAAGAACTTTAAAAAAAAAAAAAACCCAAGGCTGAAAGCCAAATACCAGCCTAAGGCTTGTTGGCTGAGCTGCTGAGACCTTTTTGCTAAATGCACCCTTGATCTTACTTAAGGAAACCCCCAGTTCTAAGGTCAAAAGGAATTTCCTTTCCTTGGAAAACATAATTGCATTTATGATTTCCTTTTAGGAAAGGATATCCTATCTGCCTTTCCCCCACAGCCCGTTTTCTCCGAACACATTGATTGCTTGTGCCATTTTGAGGGAGGGAACATCAAGGATGTTTATAACTGAGAACAATGGATCAGAGAGTGATGCTGGCAGGCTCCTGATTGGCCTGAGTTTCTGCATTTTTTGTATTTACAGCATGAAGCAGCATGAGCGTTACGGCCAACTGACCCTGGCCAACACTACCTCCGCTGACACAGGTGAATTCAGCTGCTGGGGACAACTATGCAATGGCTACATCTGCAGGAGGGATGAGGCCAAAACAGGATCTACCTACATCTTCTTTACAGGTAATGCATTTGGTACATTAGAGGAACTCTTCAGACTTCTGGACTTGGCCCATACCTGGGGTCCCATTGGATACTGAATAGAAAAAATGACAGCAAGTCTTCACTGTTTAGGCTCTGGACTAGTGATTTAGGTCAGTTGTTTCATGTAAATCTTTACTACAACCCTTCCGGTGAAGTATGAATATCATTTTTCTTTTCAGATGGGGGAAGCTGAGGTCCCAGAGCAAATAGGTGGTGGTACAAGAATTTGAACTCTGAACTCTGATTCAAGGGTTTGGACCTGCATAGTTCAAAATGGTGGCCTTTCCTTCCCCCCACACCCCCGCCAAAAAAAAAAAAAAAACCAGTGGCTCATGTTCATAAGTCCCAGCTACTCAGGAGAATGAGATCAGAGAAATGAAGTTCAAAGCCTGGGCCGAAAAATCTGAGTCTCCAGAAATAGCAAAAAGCTGGACTGGAGCAGTGGCTCAAGTAGTAGAGTGCCAGCTGTGAGCAAGCAAGCTGAGCAAGATCATGACAACAACAAATAACATTTGATCCAACAACAAATGACATTTTTATTTTACTTTTGGTTTTGTACCAGGTATCAAAACATAAAATAAAAACCATCTTGGTCACACTACATTTGGTATGCTCAGTGGCAGCATGCAGCACTAAGTGTTGACTATGTTTACTGCAGTGCACAGATACAGCTTCCACCATCATAGAGAGCTCTGGATACATAGAGTTTTCATTACTGCTTTCTCAGAACTTATCAACTCCTTTATAGTAACTCCACAGTCACAGGCAGCTTTTAAGACTCCTCTGAGCTGAAGATTGGAAGGCAAAATTCCCGAAGACTGACCTTTGTGTCTCCAGTCCCCAGGCCTGAGTAGAGAGCCTAAGACATTCAGGTCCAGTGCTGGTGTTTGCAAGGTGGAGCTAGCACTTGGAGAGACAGTGTTGCACAGTGCCCCCTCCCCTCCCACCCCTCCACCAGCCTCCTTCCTCAGCGGAATTCCTTAGGCTCTGAATGTAGGGGATAAAGTTCTCTAACAAGTGTCCCAGCTCAGGGACAACTTTCAAATTCCATGTCCTCCCATCGCTCTTATCCAAGACATTTCAGATAAAGCAAGAATCCTTTGGTTTTTTTTTTTTTCCATGAGATTTGTTTCTATCCTGAATCCATCTTCTCTGAATACCTGGAGTGACATGGGCCTGTTATCCAAATGATCTCCAGCTATGGCCATTAATGAGGGCATTAGCAACATCTCACGTACTTATCCCTTGGTACCCAAATAGCTCTGTGCTATTATTCAGGAAGCACAAGTATCTTATTTCACTTCCACAGAATTCCCAGGAAAGAGCAAGAGCTACTTTATTCTCTTTTAAAAATAATGCTGATGCAGCAACTGGGAAAGGCAAGGTAATTCTTCCAGCATTCCCTGACTTACAGTCAGGAGTCAGATCATGTTTTATCTGCCCAACAGTCCAGTTTTATTCCTACCTCAGTCCTACCTACAACAAGGTTATTGACAGACACTAGTTAGCGTTAAGTAGGACTGTCAGGAGCAACCAATTAAGATGAAGGATAATAATAATTATAAAATTGAGAGTCAGAAAAGAAGGTAACCTAAAATGTTGCATCTTTTCATTCTGCACCACATGAAGCAAAGAGTACAGTTGGATTTTCAGTCGATTTTGGAAGTTCTGTTCTCAAGCGTGGGTGGTTTTGAGAAAACAAGATGGGCTGTTAGAGAAGCTGAGGTTCCTACTGCAGACCATATGCTTCTGAGCCACCCGTGTGGAGACGCATCTGCTGTTCATTATGCTTGTGTTTTTACTACAATTTGATTGAAAACACCGAGAGGCTCTTTTAGGGGCTGACTGTTGTTAATGTGTGCAACGTTTGCTTGAGTAACTGTCACCTTTCTTCTTTCATCTGGGAGGGTCACAGAGCAGTTTTTCTTCTTCCTATTTTACTCTTCTCCTTTTCCTTCCATACTGCTTAGTTATCCTCAAGGGATCGGGCACATGTAACCACACCCAGACAGATCAAGGACGAGAATATTATTACCAGCAGAAGAGCTGGTTATAATAATGATTGCTTAGGCAATCATTTTCCTAAGTAAGGAGAGCACATTGAATGAGTACTTTACTAAATACTGAATTTGCCCTAATTGAGATTTTAGTTTATAGACTATTAAATTTAATATAAAATCCCACGTGTTCCAGCTCCCTATATGTTACATGAGTAGTTACATGCACAGGACATATGTAGCCTATAACTTTTTTAAATGAACCAACATTCCTTTCTTTCTTTTTTATTTGCTGGTTGTGGGCCTGAACTCTGGGCTTGGGCGCTGTCCCTCAGCTCTTCAAGTCAAGGCTAGCGCTCTACCACTTATGCCACAGCGCCACCTCTGGCTTTTTCTGCTTATGTGGTGCTGAGGAAACGAACCCAGGGCCTCATGCATGCAAGAGGCATGCAAGGCAAGCCTCTACCACTGAGCCACCTTCCCAGCCCCCAACATTTATTTTTGTGGATGGAAACTACTGAAATCAGGTTATTCAAAGCTTGCGTTATAAGAAGACACCTTTTTTTTGTTTTCAAATTCATAGCATTTACTAATTTTTTGTCTTTGCTTATTGGCTCATATTACTCTACAAACTTAAAAATATTCTCTATAATCTTACAATTAAAGTTTAAAAAGCCTTAAATTAACTAGGTGCCAGTAGCTCATGCCTCTAATCCTAGCTACTCAATCCCAGGCTTGAGACCTAGAAGTTCAAACTTCAATGCCAGCCCAGGCAGAAAAGTGTGAGACTCCATCTCCAGTTAACCACCAAAATGCTAGACTGGAGGCACGGCTCAAGTAGTAGAATGCTACCTGTGATTAAAAAAAAAAAAAGACAAAAAGCTGAGCATGACCGCAAGTCCCTGAGTTCAAGTACAATATCACTGGTGCCTGTGCACGTGCACACACACACACACACACACACACACACTTCTTAAATGTCAGTGCCCAAACAACATGTCTTCAATATTTTTGGCTCCAAATGTTTCTCTTGACAAATGAGGATGTTGAAGCACAGAGAAATGAAAACATGGATGTTAGGTACATTAGGAAGATGCCCCTTACCTGGGCCTGAAAGTCAGTTTATATAGTAGTGTAAATCACCTCATCTGCTTGCTATCCTTGTAACGATAGAGACCCTCTGAAGCCATATTGTTCTCTTCCCTGTACTAGGAGCCAAGAAGATGATTCCCCAAATAATAATGAACTTGGACTTAGAGCCAAAGAACTCTTGGCCCATGAGGACACTTGATAGTGTTTCCTGTGCCCAGCCCAAAACACCATACAGTGTTGACACACAAGGCTAGCCGAGGAGAAAGCCAACAACAATTCTGTTTTAGGAACATGGCAATGAACACACAGGCACAGGAAATAATTTAACAAGTGTTATGATTAGCCCCAAAGCTTTCACTCAGTGATTAGTATAATATTCCTTCACAGAATGATCCAGAAAACAAAGCATTTCAATGTGTTTTACGAAATGAAACAAACACACCTGCACAATGCATGCAAGAAACCAAGCAGAACGCCCAACCCAGAATCCTTTCACCATCCTGGTGACACGCTGAGCTACCCATTTCTTCCTCCCTTTCTGTAAGATACAAATGCAGTGTGCATTTCAGAGGGGAGAGGAAGCATATGAGGTTGGCTGAAGGTCCTCAGCCAGGTGGTGGCCTAGCGGAGGCCAGACCTGAGGCCAGCTGGTTCTTCCTTTCTTGCTGCTCCATTCTCTTCCTCCAGCCTGGGCAGGCACTAGGTCTCCTGGGCTGGGAGTGAGGACGGGGTGACGATGCCAGCCCTGCCACTGTGCTACACTTTACAGAACAACTCCGATGTGTTGAAAAATGCAGTTATTAGCCAGCCAATGGTGGCTTATGCCTCTAATCTTAACTACTCAGTAGGCTGAGAGCTGAGAATTGGGGTTCAAAACTAGTCCAGTCAGGAAAGTGTAACATTTGGAGAAAAGTGACCTTCGTGTGTTTGTTCAGGCAGAGGGGAGTTTATTAGGAGAAACGGAACCTGCCAGCCCCCCATGCGGTGGAGATGTGAAGAGAGTGTAGAAGAGAAAGGAGAGAGAGATTGAACTGTGCAGAGGGAAGGAAGGGAAAGGAATGGAACTAAGGATGGAGACTGATTATATGGGGAGAGGGCAGGAGGGAGGGGTTGCCACAGCAGATATAGAAGTGATCTCAGAGCCTGGGAACCTCTTACTGCACCAGTTACCTGGGGCTACAGATACTGAGTGGGGACTTCTAGCGTGGGCCACATGTGTGCACCAAGGGAAAGCAAAGGGGAAGGGGCCAGCAGACCTAGTATAAAGTCCATGAGACTCTTTTTTTTGGGGGGGGGGTCCGGTCATGGGGCCTGAACTCTGGGCCTGGGCGCCGTCCCTCAGCTCTTCAGCTCAAGGCTAGCACTCTAGCACTTGAGCCACAGCGCCACTTCTGGCTTTTTTCTTATGTGGTGCTGAGGAATCGAACCCAGGGCCTCGAGCATGCAAGGCAAGTGCTCTACCACTGAGCCACCTTCCCAGCCCCGTCCATGAGACTCTTATCTCCAGTTAACCACCAGAAAACCATACATATATATATATATACATACATATATACATACATATATATGTATACACACATACACAGTTATTTGTGGTAGCCTACAGGACTTTGTCTCTACATAGAAACTGCAGGGTGTAGGGCTGGGAAGGTGGCTCAGTGGTAGAGTGCTTGCCTTGCATGCATGAGACCCTGGGTTCAATTCCTTAGAGCCTCATAAGCAGAAAAAGCTGGAAGTAGCACTGTGGCTCAAAGTCGTAGAGCACTAGCCTTAAGCTGAAGAGCTGAGGGACAGCATCCAGGCCCAGAGTTCAGGCCCCACAACTGACAAAAAGAAAGAAAGAAAGAAAGAAAGAAAGAAAGAAAGAAAGAAAGAAAGAAAGAAAGAAAGAAAGAAACTGCAGATTGATTCAAGATTTCAAAAATGTTGGGTATTTTGTTTTTGTTGTTTAGGCTCAAGGCCTTGCATTTGTCAGGCAGAAGCTCTACCACTTGAGCCAGGTCACCGGCCCTAAAACTATTCTTAAGGAAGTCAGCTCTTTCCCTACTTCTTTATAAGTCATGGGTCTGATACCAGCTGCATTAACACCTTTTTTATTTCCTAAGGAGATGGGAACATGTACTTCTGTCACTATAATTAAATACTTGAGGTGACCACCTTATAAATAGAAACGGTTGATTTTTGGCTTACCATTTTGAAGATTCTGGTCCATGATCAATTGGCTCCATTTCTTGGGTCTATGGTAAGCCATCACAAGAACCTGTGTGTAGGAAAGCTGCTCACCTCCTGGCTCAGAAGCAAAGGCAAAAAGAAAGGCCAGGCTTCCACAATCTCCTTCAAGCATGTCTCCAATGACCTAAAGACCTCCCACTTGTTTTCCAAAGCTACCCTGAGGACCAAGCCTTTACGATACGGACTGGGCGACGGCCAACATCCAGACTAAACCAGGAAATCATTCCTTTAAAACAAAATGAGAACCATGAAAAAGCCCAGCTCTTCCCACTTCTATGAACCCACTCTCTTGAGTATACAGTCAATGCCCACACATCTCTGTGCCTGACTGTAAGAATCTTTTAAGTCTTGCTTAAGCACATTTTTCCAGAATAAATAAGCCTGCATATTTCCTTTTGCAGAGAAAGGAGAACTCTTCGTGCCTTCTCCCAGTTATTTCGATGTTGTCTACCTGAACCCCGACAGACAGGCTGTGGTTCCTTGTCGAGTGACTGTGCTGTCAGCCAAAGTCACACTCCACAGGGAGTTCCCTGCCAAGGAAATCCCGACCAATGGAACAGACATTACTTATGATCTGAAGAGAGGCTTTGTGTATCTGCAGCCTCATTCTGACCACCAGGGGGTGGTCTACTGCAAGGCGGAAGCCGGGGGCAAATCTCAGATCTCTGTCAAGTATCAGCTGCTGTATGTAGAAGGTAAGACTGCTCCTCCCAGGGCCCAGGTCTCAGTCTCTTCTGGTTAATTAGTTTTGGGAAAGAGAGGCACAGAATGCTGGTCTTATAAGTCCCTCTACTGCACTTCTAGAATGTTCTGCTTCCTGCACACTGACCTGATGGAGAATTCACATGAACTCCCTTCCAGATCTTTTCATTGTAACGTCTCTTGGGCTTGATCAGCAAGCCTTTTATGACCCCAGCTTTTCCTAGAACATCTTCTCAGCAACTTGTCATTCAGAATCAGTCTCCTAAGAGCACAGTGCATACCGCCCCCACCTCCACCAGGGTTGATGTTCTTCTTGGTGCTTTTCCCAATTCCCAGCCCTCATTCTTTCACCTCCGGTGGCCCTGCATGTGGCTCCGCCGGCTTTCTCCTCTCCAGTTGGCACTCACAGCCATTCATCAAAGGTGCTGGCACTGGGTTTGCCGTCTTTCCCACCATTGTACTTTCAGGATGACTTGTCTCCACTTGGAACCCACTGGCCTGTCACTACCCACCACACCACTCCCACCCTTAGTCCCAACTTTTAACACATCAACCCTCTTAACAGGTCTGACATCCGCATGAGTTCCACCTCCAGCTTTGACCACAGGCTTGAACTTCCCTCCTGATCCTCACCTCCACCCTCGGCTTGTTCTCAAATCTCTCCTTCCCTCCCCACCCACATGCATTCCACTCCATGGTTGTCTAATGCCCTGAACTTTTTGCCCTCTACTTTTCTCCCACCTGTCCAGAAGAGCACTGTCTTAGATAAAGTGATGGCTTTTGGCTATGCCCAGACGGGGGACACTGAGGGTTGCTGTGAAAATACTGTGGGTGGCTGGCTGACATCCCCAGAACCCCTAAACCCCCTGGTCTCCAGTCCCTCCTGTCTTGTTTTTTGGTGTGCTTTCTTCCCCCCACCCCCAACCCCGTCTTGTCCACTTTCCAAATATAGACTGCAAGCTGGGACTCCTCTAGTTGGTACCTGCCTCATTTCCTTCTGGGTTACCTTGTTGTCTCTTGACAGAACAGAAACATGATCCAATTCCTGTTAAAAAACTAGAACTGGGTTTGAATGTGACCATTTAACTGAGGACTTTCAAGTTGTGCATTCATCTAGGAAAGACTAGGAGGAAATCCCTCCCCCACCCCCAGCAACTTGCATTATTCATTCTACTGTGTTGAAACTCCTTTCCTAAGACGTTTAAGATGCACTAGTGACAGCTCAATTTCAAGTCCACGGGCACTTGGGGTTAGTAAGAAAGCCTCATGTTGATTTTTAAGAAGGCTCAGCTAATATTTGAATCTCACATTTGCTCCAAAGCCTTCTCTCACTCTCCCCATCAGCCAGCTTGCTCTGTGGCTAGCAGCTTGGAGTGGGGGAAGTCTAGCTCTCCTCCCTCATCTTTACCTGATCAGCTCCCAGACAGACAGACAGGAGAGAGGCTGGAGCCCAGATATGGTTGTCCCCATGTGATGGAGATGGCAAACCTGAGCAGTCCCCAGGGCACAGAGGCCCCTCTTGGGTGCAGCTCATTCACCCCCTGGCCCTCCACTGCAGACCACGCTGCTTGTGGGCACTGTGAGCCCATGCAGTGTGTCCACAGATGGGCTACAGCACTGCAGTTCAGGGAACTTCGTCGGCTAATTAGTACCTTTCCCCCTTTCCTTCCCTTCGTGTCTTTTAAGTCCATCTCTGAGATTTTAGTGTTGACATGCTTCCTCCAGGAAGCCATTCTTGAACGATTCCAAACTTTCTGAACACTCTGGGCTTTTCACAAAATTAAAGTTTGAAGTGAACCATTCCATTAGTTGGTTCCATGGCTGAACCTTCCATTTCAGTGCAGTCTCTTGGGGCAAAGTCTCCACTGGTCACCTTGTGAAGGCTGCCACCAACACCACTTGTTCAGTGAGCTGACGGTATAAATAAATGGGATCCTGAAATGCTCCGAAGGCATTGGTGCCTGTCCCGCAGACATCCTTCTCACCTGTATACTAGAACTTTCCTTCCCGAGGATCCATGCCCACACGTTGGTCTGTCCACCTCTATCTTCAGACACCTCCATCCACCATGCCTTCATGGTGTTGTACTCCCTTCCCCTTCTTGCCTTTTGGTTCCCTTCCTATGACCCCAAGCCTATTAGCTCCTTCCTTGATCACAAGCAGAGATGGCTCACCATGGAGTTCCGGATGACCATCAAGGTGGCAGAGGAGGGGGGGGGGGTCTCAAAGATGAGGGTTGACTGGTGTCAGCTGGTGCTGGGTGTGAAGTAAGAGATGTCTGTCTAAAGGAAAGAATGCCAGTGTGTGTGTGTGTGTGTGTATGTCTTTCATCTGATAGATCGCACTGTCTCCTGCTTCCTTCCAGTTCCCAGTGGCCCTCCATCGACAACCATCTTGGCCTCCTCAAACAAAGTGAAGGGCGGGGACGACATCAGTGTGCTGTGCACTGTCCTTGGGGAGCCTGATGTGGAAGTAGAATTCAGGTGGATCTTTCCAGGGCAGAAGGTAAGCCTTACTTAGTTTTAATTTAAGAAATTAGTGGGACTGTGGTAGGAGCAGGGCATGCTTATTTCATTCTGATGTGTCAGTATATTTACAAATGGAGATTTAAAAAAAAAAAAAGGATAAGGAAAACAAAAAAATGGAATGGTTCCCCTAGGCAATTCATCCTATGCCCTGTTCCTACCCAGTTTTCCTTTGCCACTCCTAAGCTCAGACAGTGGACAATGGAGAGACATCTCCCTCAGCCAACCTCAAACCTTCATTCAGTCCCACCCTTTGGGTCTACCAGAAGCAAAGCTCCTCTCCTCTGGGATTCTCATGTTTTCTAGCCAAGCTGTATTCTGTGCTGCACAGTTTTGAACAGATACTCACCAAATGGCATATAGAAAAACCCTAAGCCCTGTCAAAAAGGTGCCTCGAGGTCAGAGATCTTAAAAATAGGCCTCCCATAAAAGCAACACTGCATATTTAGCCTTTGTGCATGTTCTGCTCACTGAAACAAACAACTCTGATACCAACATGGAATAATCCTTTCGTTGCCAGAAGAGATTTGTCATCCCAAGACAAGCGGTTAGGACAGGTGGGAAATAACTACCCCCTAGGGAATAGTGATTTTCCAGCATTCTGCTACTCGGTGTTTGCTGCACTTGGCTAATGAGTATCTTCTGAGTGCAACAATATCAACAGATTAAAGTCAGAAAACACTGTGCTCACATCACCAAAGTTGACTGAACTATGTCAGAAGTGACCATATCTCTTTCTTGAAAGGGAGGTCATATAGTCTAAGGCATTATCTTATTCTTCGTTGCTCCAAGTTCCCTTTCTTTGGAGTCCTGAGGCACAACACTTCTCTAAACTAGCAGGAACTCATATTTACTTACATAGTAAGTCCTGTGGGCTTCTAACTTTGAGTTTGTGAAGAACCAATAAGGGATGAACAATGAGAAAAGTAAAAATTGGAACAGTGAGGCATTTTGCTGTTGTTAATAGCAATTCCACTTACAGCCAAAAGAAACTGCTTTAAGTAGAAACTTACTAAAGAGAAGAAAGAAATCACCAAATTGCATCTTGAAATTCCAAGACACTGCTTGGGGAAAAATAATGCAGCTGTAGGGTGTAAAAGCTCCCAGAGCCTATGAGTGCCACCTACCAAGTAGTCTTTCATGAGCATGTACTTTGCATTTTGAAAGGGACACACAGTAGGATTGTGTGCATGAGAGATGTTCCGGATTGCTTGTCCCTCTTTGCTTCAGTCTGTCTGGGTGTTGTTAAACAGGATGAAAGACCTGTGACGATTCAGGACACTTGGAGGCTGGTCCACAGAGGGCTTGGACATACCACAAGACTCTCTCAGAGTATCATAACCATTGAAGACTTTGAGACCATCGATGCAGGATATTATATTTGCACTGCTCAGAATCTCCGAGGACAGACTACGGTCGCTACCACTGTTGACTTTTCCTGACTTGAAGGAAAGGGAAGTAGAGTGAACAGATGGAAAGCTCATCGGTGCACACAATCTGCTTTGGGGTTCTTTGATTTGTGCTTTTCTAGAGGCCAATATCAAGTGCCCACACTGGCCTGTGAGCCAGACAGACATCTGACTGAGAGGAAGTCAGTCTATTAATAGAAGCATTAACTTTTCTAACAGAAAGCATGTTTTCTGATTGCTTAGCTACGATTCATGTGTTTTTAGTTTTTATACTAAGAAAGCACATATGTCGAAAACTTTATATAATCACTTCTATTTTCTATTAAATGTGCAAGTTTTTGTAAAAAAAAAAAGAGGGGGGGCTATGTGTTTTTTAAGTCTAGAAGGACTTTTTGGCAGTAATAGTTGGGTCAATACTTAGTATTGATGCTAACTTGTGAAGAGTACACATAGCCACACGTAGCTGGAGATTGTCTACTGTGTAGACACTGATTTTTCACAAAACAGACGCAGATGAAGGAAGCTACAACTATTTTACCTAGACCCACCTTCAAAAATATTTCGACCATAGCCATCCCATTTCTCTTATACAGAAATTAAAACCAGCCAAAGTCTTTTTTCATTAAACCCATGATGCTTTGTGTGGTTGCACTGGAAATTCCTGTGAAATGGCTTAGGAAACCATCTTCCATTTGCAGAGCCCAGCAGTTAATGCTTTGAAGAGTAAAGTATGTCAGAGGTTGCAATTCTTAGGAAGATTCCAGCATTATTTATTTGATCGAAGTAAAATACACTTTCCATCACTATAAACTGAATACAACTACAGCTCACACATCTGTACTTCTGTGATGTGCCAACATTTTCAATCTACATAAAACATTTGGTTTGGGAAAAACAAAGCTATTTTGTTCCTATTGTCTCCTGTTGTCTTCCATCCTCTGAAGACATTTTATACTAATTACTATCAGATTTCCCAGATACCTAAACAGTATGGAAGACAGCAGGAAATCGCATGAAACTTACCATGCTCAGGGATGAGTGGCAAACCCAACTTTGGCTAATGTCACAGAGAACAATTTGGAAGCATGGGTAGAGCTGTTCTGGGAGGCAGCAATGAACTAAGCTCTCACTTCTTGAAAGCAAACATGGAAGGGTTATGTATGCAAGAAACTACAGGCGGTTAAAGACTTCAAACACAACTACAAATTAAAAACATGCATCATGAAATATCAATTTGTTATTTAGTGTACATGGATATGACAACTCAAATACCCACCTCCAGTTCCTGAATCTGTTCTTTCTCTAGGGGTTATGTGCACAGCCATCGAGCTCAGAAAAAAAAACACTTGACATCACAATGTGAACACATGCAGTGCAGAGAAGCCACAACTGTCCTTCCACCTTTCCCAAAGTCTTACAACGGGGGGAGGTAACAAGAAGTTTTGAAAAGTCAAATGCAACCCAAAGGAGAATTGTATAAAACTACTTCTCAGCTGCCCATTTTACTTTATCCCAACTTACCATTGTCTCCCCAGACCATTCTATCAAATACTGCATCACTGGCCTAATCTAAGGGCTTTTGTTCATTAGCATGTACAGAATCCTATCCAGCCAATGACTTTCCTCCTTATTTTCCCTAAGATTTTTTTTCTCCAGAATTAGTAGAGTCAATCCCAGGCCTTAATTTATTTTGGAATTTGGGTTCAGCACCTTGAAGAGAAGTTGCGTCTGGAAAAGCATATTCCTTTTATCTTTGTCCCAGAGAAAAGTAGATAGGAGGTAGAAGGTTTGTGTTTGTGGCTGTGGAAATCAGAGAAAGGAAAGGAATCAATGAGGCAGATGGGAGAGGAGATGAAGGCTTAACTTTGCAAGAATAGTTTAGATCAAGGTAAAAATAAGGCAGAACAATTATTGGTCCTGCCATTGGTATTTTTTTTCTTTATACAGTTTTTTTTAATCTTTAGAAAAATTAGGGTTCTACATTTGCTCGTAGCCTGAGAAAATGGATCCTAGTATAGTATTACACTCACATGAAAAAAGAATTTACCTAGTTTCAACGGACAGAACTGAACACTGAAAAATTGCTAACAATTACTCCAAAGGGAGAAATGGACAGACATTGAAGAGTCAAAAAACTTTTTCTTTCACACCTTCTACTCACCATATCCAGGCTGAGCAGAGTTGGTAGTAAATATAATTCAAGCAACTATTGCTTTTTCTTTTATGGCTTTTGTTGAAATGTGTACATTATGACTTGATTAGCATGTACCCATGGAGATTCAGCTTTGACTTTTAATACACAGCAAAGAAGACTGCATCAGACATGTGACACTCTTTTACATCCATTTCATTCATACCCTGCCCCCCCACAATCAGAAATAAAAATCACAGGAAGGTGTCTGTGGTGAAGAACATTACAAAGGTTATAATTCTTTATCTTAATAGGCCCCTGAGAGTTTTTCCCCTTATGCTTAGGTGAAAAAGGCAACGAACAAGATTCTCTCATTCCTAAGTGCTCTGTGCAACAACGTCCACATCGATTCCAAAATCTGTTGGGCAGGGGGCGGGGGGGGGGAAGGGGATGACTGTTGGACCACGTCAAAAGTCACCCCTCCCCCCCCAGAGTTCCCATCTCAAAAGTAGCCCATAAGATGGTGGCTTTCCAGTTGTCCTGCAGAAATTCCAGGAGAGCTGACGTAGCTCTGACTCCCATAGTCGTTATGAGGGTCAGTCCTGCAGACCTGCATCCGGATGCTTTTGCAGTCTCAGCTTGCAGAAAGCGTCATCTGGGTGAGACGCTGGGGCTGGGGAAGGAGCCAGAATTCCTGGGTGACTGAAAGGGAATCGCTGAGGACGTGGGGGATCTCTTGGGACTACACAGGTCCCCGTTGTGCAGCTTCCACAGCAGCTCCTCGTTCTCCATGGAAAGGCGCTTGTTGACTTTCGACTCCTTCTCCAGGGATTCCTGCAGCACGGCCTGCTCTGTAGAAAGCTGCCTGAAAGATGAAAGACAGAGAAAACATGTGGATCGAGGTTGAAAAATATAACTCAAGCAGAGGACAAGTGGCTCATGCCCATAAGCCTAGCTACTCAGGAGGCTGAGATCTGAGGCTCATGGTGCACAGCCAGCTCAGGCAGAAGAGTCCCATGAGGGTCCTATCTCCAATTAACCACCAAAAAGCTAGAAGTAGAGCTGTGGTTCCAGGGGAAAAAGCTAAAGGCTAGTGCCTAGGCAGAGTTCCAGCCCCAGAACTGGCACGTACACACACACAAACTAAAAACAGTAACTAAAAAAAAATCTTACCAATTTATATTGGAAGTCCACAAACCTAGCTTTATGGAAGAAACAGCCCTATAAAGGTTTACAAGTTTTAATCTGGCTAAGAAATTTGTATACTCCTTCTAAAAACCAAAAGATCCTAACTCTACTTTTGGGACAATTGCATAGGGAACCATGTCACTTAGACCCATGCTCTCTGTATTATATAATCCCTACAAATTTGGGGCAGTTTTCTATTTAGTTTTGTGTTGCTTTCTCCAAAAGCAGTCTCAGAGTCAGCCACCCAGGGGATTGGCGAGAAAGCTGCTTTGGCAGAAGCATAAACTGCCTTATTTCCTAGCTGGAAATAGGGTCTCTTTGCCCACTTGAATTGCACTCTCAGGAGGTACATGGCGGAGTGTGATAAAGTAATGCTACATGTTCGAGGATGAGAGGAAATAGGAAAAATACCTTGAAATGGCCATGTGCTTGTCCATGCGGGCTTTTAATTCCTCATTCTCCTGCTGGAATCGCTTCAGTTTGTCAACCAGTGCTGTGTTGTTGTCCACCTTGACATGAACAATTTGTACAGTGATAAGAAACAAGACTCCCTCATTTCTTAATGCTCATTCCAGACACAAGCACACTTTAAAGGGATTTAATTAGGAAAACTTAATAGCACACTGAAATATTTATAAACTGGCATCTAGAACGGCAAAATGGAAATTTCTTTTTCTTTTTTTTTTGGGTCCAGTCATAGGGCCTGAACTCTGGGCCTGTGCGCTGTCCCTCAGCTCTTCAGCTAAAACTAGCGCTCTACCACTTGAGCCACAGCGCCACTTTCAGCTTTTTTCTTTTTGCTTATGTGGTGCTGAGGAATGGAACCCAGGGCCTCATGCATGCAAGGCA